ATTCTTCATTATGTACACAACTTAGAATTAAAGAGACATTGATCATTTTTAAAAAGTAGGATGATTAATTTTTCTCTAAGTGACTGATCTTCAAATACAACTGGAATAAATTTTTGGCTTAAAAGATTTGATGCCTGATATCTCAAGTCTGGGAAGGTAAGGGTTTTTTTAAAGCACATGTGCTGTTTCTGCCCTCTAGTGGTTTCTCAGTATCATTGCAATCCAAAGTTTTCTTTAGGACAATTTTCAGTGTGAGAAACCCTCAGAACTTCAGCAAAAATTTAGGTCGTTTTATGTTGCAGTTCTAATGAAGAATTAAGAATTTGTAAAATTATTCAGATGACACAAGAAGTTCAGTATTCTAATTTTTTAGGACATTATGGAAGAGTAAAGCATTTAATTTAAATGATCTATTTATACATTGCTCAAAGACCCTTTTGGGACTTCAGGTCATTTTTGTAGGCTCTTAAGGTTTTATGAAAGAATTAAACACTTATTTGAAAAGGATAGTCAAAATAACTAGTTACAGTAGCTCATATACCTGTTACACATTAGGCACTGATTTCTCGTACTACTACAATTGATTTTACTTTGTTTTTCCTGGGAATTCAGACATCTGAAAGTATATTTAGATGCTGCTGCTTTGTTAGTGAATTGAGAACTTACTCATGACTATACCAGGTTCATAGTTGACTCTTGGGCCACTAAAATCAACTATTTGATCTTTAACCATCTGTATAACTGTCTTCCTTATTCATAATTTAAATGTCTCTGTTAAATTAGTTTAAGTTTGGTCTCTTAAAGACTTAACATTTGTAAAATGCATTAAAGTGTATCAAGGAGATGCTATACTCTCTTTATACTGCATGATATACCCCACTTTTCTATGGGGGATTAATAAAATTTTAAGTCACTGAACTATGGACTTAAACTCATTTTTTATTTAAAAATGTCATTGGTCCTTTTAGTCTTATCTCAAAAGCAATTTTTAGACTTGCCAAAGATGTTAACTTTTCCACTTCTAGGAGAAGTTTAATTTTGCTTTTAAGAAATGTATTGAAGTGGGACCAGCAGTTAGCATAATGGCTATGTTGCTGGACTCTCATGTAGTTGACCACGGTTCAAGTCCCGGACCTGGTGCCTTAAGCTCATGCCAGATGCATGTGGGTGCATGCCCAAGATCCTGAGAGGAGAATGGAGAAGAGTTTGCGGGCGTGGCCATCACCCCCCCGGGGGAGGGGGTGATTTTTCACTTTCTCTCTCTCTGTCTCTGTCTTTCTGGCGAGCGCACGCGACCTATAGCAGAAACCTCTCAAAACAAAACAAAAAAACAAAGAAGGAAAAAATGTATTGAAGGTAGATAAGTCAAACTATGCAATAATTTCAGCTTGACGATATTTTTCTAATTTCTCTTAGAATTTCAAGCTGGAACTATCAACCTCAGCTGAGAATTGGAACTACCTATGATTAAAGAATTTAAAAAGACCCACGTTGGTCTCTTATGATTTATAATTTTAGGCATGTGAGATTTAGTAATCTCTATGTTTCAAAAGTTTCATATCCTAGTCTAATGGATGGCAGGCACTGTTGAGAGCCACTGATCTGAAACTAGGTGTTTTCAATTATAAAATTTAAAATAATGGGTAAATATAAACTTACTTAATCCTATGTAATGGCGTAACAAGCAGAAACAAGCCAAGCAGGAACATTTACTCTGTGTAATGTCGACCCAAGTGAATATTGGGTTCTGTCTCAGAAATGGATCTTTTATTTGACCATGATGCTCTCTACCACTACCATCTTCCTTCACTTGGGCTACTGTGAACAATTTTAAACTGGTTTCTGGAGACCAGCAGGTGGCATAATGGTTACGCCACTGGACGCCCATGTAGAAGACCATGGTTCGAGTTCTGGACCCAGTGGCTTAAAACTCGTGCCTGGCACATGTGCATATGTGCCCCAAATCCCTGGAGAATGGAGGAGCAGCGATTACGGCCTTCCCCACCCACCCCACCCCCCGAGGGAGGTGAGGGTGTGTTTTCTCACTTTCTGTCTCTCTGGCAAGTGCATGTGTCCAATAGCAAAAATCTCTCTCTTAAAAAAAAAAAAAAGGAAACCAAACCAAAACAAAACAAAAAACTGGCCTCCATATACTTTAGTTTATTCAGTGTCCTTGAAGGTGTTCCTTAAGATCTTTCTAGAAATCTAGGAACGCAGAACCAGTGGTTGTACTCACTGCTGAGTACACATCAGCTCCTGCCATTCCTTCTTCCTGCTGTGTAAGTCTCCTCTATGGAAACAGGCTTCCTTAGTCCCCAGGATGGTCTCATTTTCTTCGGCCTGACAGTACTTTCCTCCCCTCTTGTTCTTCCAGGTCTCTGTTGTTTCTTCATTTTGGCCTTTCCTACGGAGGAGTACTCAGCCTCCAATTACTCTTTGGCCTTTTTCTTTCACTCGGTTTATTTTTTTCTTGGCACTTACCAACAACCTAACATATTATATATCCATTAGTTTTTTTTTTTTTTAATTCTCTGTCTTCCCATTAGAATGTGAGCTCCTCAGAGATAGGGGTAGTACCTGTTCGTTCATGGCTATATTATTCAATATTCTATTCCTAGAATATTCCTAGGGTCTTGGACATGCTTGGTACATAGTAGTGCTTAAATGTTATAGGAATAAATATATATAGCTTGCTTTTTACTAATTAATTTGTTACATAGTGTTTAGTAGGTTAATTGTTGATGGGCTTTAATTTTTTTTGGTGGTGAAAGTTAGGCAGTTATATTCATTTAAATATTAAACTGTTCAGCTCACTTAATAGCATTTATTTATTGTTTACTATATGCTAGGCCCTGTAAAAAGGAGAACAGTGTACAAAAGCATGGTCTGGAGTAAGCCACAGAGCTCACAGGCTTGGTGTTTCCCCCACTCTGTCATTAGCTCTCTAAGGGAACACCGTTTTGGTCAGTGCTGTATCCCCAGTGCGTGGGAAAGTTCTGCACGTGCTAAGCAATGCATTTATGAATAGGAGTGTGTAACTGACGATCTCAGTCTGGGTTGGGAAAATAACACATAGACTGAGAACTCAGAGAAGGAGTAACTAGGCTGACAGGAGACTCTTGTTTCAGGTGGAAGAAGCAGCGTATGAGAAGACTAGAGAGGCAGAAGGAGCTTAACAAATGCCAGATTTGAGGAAAGCCGGATGGGTTGAAATAGGAGAAGAAAATGAGTAGAGGCCAGATCCTTCAGGGCTTTTTATTCCATGGGAAGAGTTTTAGATACTACCCTAAAGATAGTAGGAAGGTTCTGTATATTGGTAAGATCTAATATAAACCTGCAAGATGTATTACAAGGTAGAATTGATGGGACCTTCAGTGGTTAAATGAAGGGAAGACACCCACAATTCTTGCTCAGGTACATGGCAATGATCTTTACTGACATGGGAGCATGAATAGCCTGGTGGAGAAGACATGGAACTGAGTTATCACATTAACTTTCAGGTAGAGATGTCAACTAAGCTATCCAGTCTGGGGTTAGGAGAGTGTTCTGGGCCAGGCACCTATATATGGATAGGTGTGGTGTGGAGATAGTAGCCTTCATTGGTGATACAGACAGGAGGAAAGAAGAGTGTTCTAGAAAGATCACTGATAGAGTGAACACTCAGTGGTGAGTTAGAGGAGCTGGTGAAGAGATTGGGAGCAGGAAAACCAGCCGAGTGCCGTGTCATTCCTTATGGACAAATAGAAAATTAAATTTTGAAGAAGCACTTTTCAAACAACTTTAAACATGTAAGAAAACTTGAAGGAGATATGAGCTATCCTTGATATTAGGATAACTTTTAGGAGAGATATTAGGAAAGATAACTAGTCTTGATATTAGGAAAGATAACTACTCTTAGTATTTTGGTGCCTGAACTTACAGTTTTTTATATTTAAAACTGGGATTATACATTTTATGCTTTCCGAAATTGTTTTGTTTCTTTTAGTAATATTTTGTGACTGGCTTTCTTATTAATGACATGTGCTTCAGCAGCTTCCATCTTTAAGGACTCCTTGGTTTCCAGCACATTGGCATACCATAATTTAGTTTTTTTTTTCTTTTATTTTGGAGAGGTTTTTGCTATAGGGCACGTGTGCTCGCCAGAAAGACAGAGAGAGACAGACAGAAAGCGAGAAATCACACCCCCACCCCACCCCACCCCCATTGGGGATGGCCACGCCAGAATCCCTTCTCCATTCTCCTCTCGGGATCTTGGACACGCACGCACACACACCCGGCATGAGTTTAAGCCGTCGGGTCTGGGACTCGAACCACAGTCAACTACATGAGAGTCTAGTGACATAGCCATTATGCTAACTGCTGGTCCTACCATAATTTAGTTTTAAAAAGAGTGCCTGTTGGGAAACTTTCCAATTGTTTTTCATATTTTCATTATTATAAGCAATCATTTGTATAAATAAATCTGATGATTTCCTGAGGATAGGTATCTGGAAGTTGAATGCTTAGGTAAAATAGAATGCAAGTTTCTAAAACTTTTGCTACATATTGCCAAATTGTCCTTTAGAATATCCGTGCTAGTTTACTGAACTTCTTTAGAGAGCACTATTTTGTTGATATTACTTGTTTATTTTATAGACAGGTCTTGCTGTATTGCCCAGACTGGCCTTGAACTCATGACTTGAGCCTTAGCCTCTTGAGTAGCCATCATGCCTGCCTAGTGATCACTAGATTTTTTAAGAGGCAATTCTTTGCAGTTGGACTCTTTGAAGGACATACCTGTTTTGGTTTGATTTAATAAAATCAGTATGTGAATAGTAGTAACAAGGGCTGAAAAACAAGGTTCACTGACTTTAGGTAGATCCTGTCAGAGCCAAACATTTTAAAATTTCAAATGAATAGTGACTTGTGTTTAGTATTCATTGCTTAGGTAATTGGTTATTAGGATATTGGAGAAGATGAGAGAAGAAATTCCAAAATATTTTTCTTAACAAATCTCCCAGATATTAGTATTTGGTTAAATCAAGCTCTTAAAGGAGTCCGGGATCGCCACGGGAATTCAATAGAGAATGCTCATCTTCTCACTCTATTTCATCGGCTCTGCAAACTCTTATTTTTTCGAATTCGTCCTATTTTCGTGTTTGATGGGGATGCTCCACTATTGAAGAAACAGACTTTGGTAAGTGTCGTAAGATTATGTTTTTTCTTTCTGCATTCTTAGAAAGAAAGAAAAAATTCACATGTATTTTTATTTTCTTCTTAGACTTTTAAAGCTGTCTTTGACACATACCCAATTTAATTTCTACTTCTTTTTTATTTACCTTGAATAAATAAATGATTTTTATTTTAAGAAACATTTATGAGAGTACATAATGGGTATAATGATTGCTATTTAGTTTTTAAATAATACTAGCTAGTACAGTCTCCAATCCTTACAATTGAGAGTTTTCCTTCTAGAGTGTCTTCTTAGGTGTTCTGCATTTATTTCACCTATGCTGCCATTGCTCAGAACATTGTGGAAAGCCTATGGGTAGCTGCCCTCCTGGACCTCAGATGGAATATCCTGTGACAGCGAGCTTTCTTTTGCAGTGGAGTTGGGTTTGGGCATCAACAGTAGTCTGCGATGCTAACTGGTGACTGAAGTAGATTACCCAGGAAGGAAATAGAACATGATGCAAAAGAATGAAAATTAATTTCTTTTTCTTTTTTTTGAGAGATTTTTGCTATAGAGTGTGTGCACTTGCCAGAAAGACAGAAAGAGACAGAGAGACAGAAAGCAAGAAATTACCCCCTGGGGGGATGGCCACACCACAGTCCCTTCCCCTCCATTCTCCTCTTGGGATCTTAAGCACGCACACACACATGTCTGGCATGAGTTTAAGCCACCAGGTCCAGGACTCGAACTGCGGTTGACTACATGGGAGTCCAGCGACCTAGCCATTACACCAACTGCTGGTTCCGAGAATGAATTTCTTTATTGTTCTGAAAGTAGTTTCAAAATATGTTTGAACTGGTGGACCAGCAGATGCATAGTGGTTACGTCACTGGACTCACATGTAGTCGACCGCAGTTTGAGTCCCAGATCTGTCAGCTTAAAACTCATGGTGGGACCAGCAGTTAGCGTAATGGCTATGGCACTGGACTCTCATGTAGTCGACTGTGGTTCGAGTCCTGGACCCGGTGGCTTAAACTCACGCCGGGTGCGTGTGCGTGCATGCCCAAGATCCTGAGAGGAGAATGGAGGAGAAGGGATTGCGGCGTGGCCATTCCCCCTGGGGGATGATTTCTCGCTTTCTGTCTCTGTCTCTCTCTGTCTGGCGAGTGCATGCGCCCTATAGCAAAATAACCTCAACAAACAAACAAACAAAAAAACTCATGTTGAGCGTGTGTGCATGTGTGCCCAAAATCCCAAGAGGAGGAATGGAGAAGAAGGTAGATTACAGCATGGCCATCACCACTGAGAGCTGATTTCTTGCTTTCTGTCTTTTGGTCTCTTGGGTAAGTTCATGTGTTCTGTAGAAAAAAAATTCTCTTTCTAAAAAATAAAAGTGTTTGAACTGGGGCCAGCAGGTGATGTGGTAGTTAAGGCATCAGACTCCCCACATGGCTGACTATGGTTCAAGTCCCAGACCTGGCAGCTTGAAAAATCACAATGGGCACATGTGCGTACATGTCCAAAATCCCAGGAGGAGAGTGGAGGAGAAGGGATTGTGGCATGGCCATCTCCCCCAGGGAGCGATTTCTCACTTTCCCTATCACTGTCTGTCTCTTTGGGTATGCACACGCCCTATGGCAAAAACCTTAAAAAAAAAGTTTAAATGATCCATGTGATAAGAACCCTTTTGGGTATATGACCTGTATAATGCGGAAGATGCTTGGTCATGACTTTATAACCTTACCTGACAACATTGTCTAATTAAACAAGGTAAAAGTAAGGATTTATAAGTACATAGGACATTTGTTGTCTCAATAAAGTACCTAGACTTCAGTGTTGTAGTTTGATCCAGTTATACTTTGTATCAGGTACTTTTGTGAAGGATTAAAAAGGCATAGAGGGGACCAGCAGATGGCAGAGTGGTTGCATTGTTGGACTCTCACATGGCCAACAGTGGTTCGAGTCCCAGATCTGGTGTCTTGAAACTCATACTGGGCACATGTGTGTGTGTGCCTGAAATCCTGAGAGGAGAATAGAGGAGAAGGGATTGTGAGTGAATTTTCACTTTCCCTGTCACTGTCTCTCTCAGGTGAGTGCATGTGCCCTAAGGCTAAAGCCTCTAAAAATGAAAAAGAAAAAAAGGCAAAGAGAATGTCTCAATTATTTCTGCCTTATATTCACTTTTAAACACAGAAACTATTAATTTATCTTACAAAAGACTTCTGTACATTTTAGGATTTCTTTTAACATAATCTTGAATGTGGGGGGGGCAGAGTTATATGTAAGTAATACTTTTTTTTTTTTTTTGAGAGATTTTCACTGTAGGGCGCATGCGCTCGCCAGACAGAGAGAGAGAGACATAGAGACAGAAAGCGAGAAATCACCCCCCAGGGGTGATGGTCATGCCGCAATCCCTTCTCCTCCATTCTCCTCTCGGGATCTTGGGCACGCATGCACACGCGCCCAGCGTGAGTTTTAAGCCACCGGGTCCGGGACACGAACCGCGGTCGACTACGTGGGAATCCAGCGACATAGCCATTACGCTAACTGCTGGTTCCCAGTAATACACTTTTATAAAAAGCACTATTGGAAATTGTTTTGGCATAACAGTTACTTTTAAAGGATAAATTAGTTAGGGGCCAGCAGGTGGTGTAGTGGTTAAAGTGCCGGACTCCCACGTGGTTGACTGTGGTTGGAGTCCTGGACCCTGCAGCTTGAAACTCACGCTGGGTATGTGTGCTTAGGTGCCCCAAATCCCAAAATGATAAGGGATTTCAGTGTGGCCATCCTCCTAGGGCGTGATTTCTTGCTTTCTGTCTCTCTTGTCTCTCCTGTGAGTACATGCGCCCTTATAACAAAAATCTCTCTTAAAAACAAAAAAAGGGTGGGAATGTAAATTGGTCCAGCCACTGTGGAGAACAATTTGGAGAGTCCTCAAAAATCTACAAATAGAACTACCATATGATCCAGTAATCCCACTCCTTGGTATCTACCCAAAGTACAGAAGAATACTTAACCAGAAAAGTGCTTGCACATCGATGTTTATTGTGGCACTACTCACAATTGCTAAGACATGGAACCAACCCAAATGCCCATGAACAGATGAATGGATAGAAAAACTGTGGCACATATACTCTATGGAATACTATTTAGCCATAAAAAACAACAAAACCCTAGCTTTTGACAGGAAATGGATGAATATGGAAGATTTACTGCTGAGTGAAGCAAGCCAGGTTATGAAGGAGAGGCATTGTATGTCCCCACTTAATATATACTGAGTGTCCACACTCTATGACTGAAACTGATTGACTAAAGGATATAGAAACACAGTATATAGAGATGTAAATACCAGATATAGTGTGTGTGAAAGAGAAGGGTCTGAGGAAAGACATTTAGAAGAAAAATAGGGAGGCAAAGCATTAATAGGACAAAGAAATGTGGTATTATCTGTTGAAGATATTTTATAGTTTTATCAACTGTACTAGGGAGAAATGTTCACCTGTTGAAACATTCATTTTGTAAGCTAAATAATATGATTGAATGTATAAAAGAAAATGAAATAAAAAATGAAAGAAAAGAATAAATTTGTTAATCTATTATATTTCCTTTTAGGTAGCGTTTATTATATATCATTAAGGCTTTAGGTTTCTTGGGAGATATCAAAGGACATTTAAAACGAATTGAAAATAAATTACTAGTTTCCCCAATTTGTGGTATAATAGGCAGCTCTTTAAGTAATAGCTAGATGAAACTCTGGCTTTCCTTTACATAGCAGAAACCTGAAGATGTTCATTGATATAATCATGAGGAGGAAATACAAAAACAGCCATTGTCTGAAAACACAAGCAAGTCAAAGTCTATGGGAAAAAATTTATGGAAATGTTTGTGATATACTAATACCCAAAGATAAAATCTTAACATCTTTTCTTTTTATAGGCTAAGAGGAGGCAGAGAAAGGATTTGGCTTCCAGTGACTCCAGAAAAACTACAGAGAAGCTTTTGAAAACATTTTTGAAAAGACAAGCCATCAAAACTGCTTTCAAAAGCAAAAGGCAAGTGGAAAATTACAGTAATTTTAGAGATTAATTAAAGAATTTTTCTTTGTGTCAGATTCCTGTGTTCCCTTTTCCATCTGAATTTTCAGTGTCAACAGAAAGTAGCGTGAAGTGAGAGGAATACATAGGATGTCATTCAATCTACCAACATGAAACTGTGAAAACTCTTCATTCTGGGAGAGTTGGCTTTGCTAGTGAGGACCAGAAGCTGGAGTGCTGCGTTCCTATACTTGGTTCTTCTAAATGTGCTTCTTGACTCTTGTAGAGGCCATGTCCAAGGCTCAGGGAGCCCTCGCAAGTTTCTTTTTTCCTTATTTTCCACAATAGGAGCCAGGAGAGCCAGGTCAGGAGGGGACATTTGGGGTCTGGGTGTTCTCTCTTGTTCCCTCCTGAGCAGAGTTTGCATAATCAGTAGGGAGTATTATTGACTCAGAATACCATTTTGTATGATCTCTGTTAAAGATGTGTGTACTTTGCAGAGAGGAAGCACTACCCAGTCTCACGCAAGTTCAAAGAGAAGATGACATCTATGTTTTGCCACCTTTACAAGAGGAAGAAAAGCATAGGTAAGTGTTTAACTATCGGAGAATATTGTTTTAATTGTTGCTGTATTCAGACAGATGTAAACCTTTATGTTTTAGCTGCACGACAAGGCATGTGGGATTTTATTAACGCATCTGAAATACGCATTCTCTATGGTTTTGAGAATATTTTTTCTTTTTTTTTCTTTTTTCATTTTTTATTTATTAACTTGTCTTTGTGATTTGGTAATTTGTGATTCATTTTTCTTTTTCATTGTTAGGAGTCTCTGCTGGCACTACGGATTTAAAATTCATGAGGATGTGAATTTTAGTTCTTCTTACGCTTTGCCCCCATGTGCTGTCTCTACCTTCTCCTCAGCCTTGTCCTGCCTTTCTCATCATCCAGCAGACGCTTTACACTTCTCAGCTTACTTGGCCTCTCCACCCCCTTTGGTGCTGTATTGCACTGTCCAGCTGTCCCTCTGTCCTGGCACCCTTCTGGCTGCCCCTTCCAGCTCTTCTGTCATCTCTTCCTCCCTTGCTGTCTGTTAACCATCAGTGGCTTCTGTGTTTGAAGTGAAGGTGGAGAATCAGGTGCTCTGACAGTTCTCTACCCCATTCCTCTTCCTGGGACTCTCAATTGGCAAAGAAACTTCCAAATCCGCCCATCTCTCTCTATTGTCACTATCTTTATCCTTTCTCCAGGTTACTGTAATAGCTTCCAAACTTTCTGATTTCGCCTTTGATTGCACCCCTTTTGCAATAGCCCCTCCTTGCCAAGCCCAATCTGCTTAAAATTGAAACCTGATTATTGTCTTTTCCTCAGTAAAAACACTTCCTAGCTTTTCATTTCTTTAGGATAAAACTTTAGCTCCTTAATCACATGTCTGTAACCTCAGCCTTGGCTCTCTTCATACCATCCACAGGAAGGCTTTTCTCCTCATATGTCTAGATGAGTATAGAACTTAATTCTTCCACTAGGAAGGCTTTTCTTTGCACACCTGCCCCACGCCTCTTACTTACTTGAGGCTAGCTCCAAGGAATATAGCAGCAGAAGATTCTAGAAAGTTTTTATGACCCCCGTGCTCCCCTGCCAAGTTCAAGTGAGATGGCTCCTCATGTTGCACCTTTAACTACAAACTCCACCTGGAAGTTATTGGGTCATACTGTCATTACTCACTTCTGGAGAGGTTTTTCCTCTGTAGGGTGCGTGTGCTCACCAGACAGAGACAGAGAGACAGAAAGCGAGAAATCACCCTCCAGGGGTGATGGCCATGCCGCAATCCCTTCTCCTCCATTCTCCTCTCGGGATCTTGGGCACACACGCACATGCGCCCAGCGTGAGTTTTAAGCCACCGGGTCAGGGACGCGAACTGCAGTTGACTATGTGGGAGTCCAGTGACTTAGCCATTACGCTAACTGCTGGTTCTCTCATTACTCACTTCTGTATCCCCACAGACTGAGCCCAGTGGGCGCACAGATCTTTCTCTTATTCACCTTTGTAGCTCCTAAAGCTATCAGCACCGAGCACTTGAATACTTTTATAAGTAGTTATTAAAAATCTTAGTGATAGGGACTGTTCGTCTTGTGACCTCATGGTTAGGGGGCTTGCATCTCACATGGTTCACAAAGGTTTGAATCCTGGCCCTGGCTTGAAAAACATGCCAGGTCTATGTGTGTGCATGCCCAAATCCTGACAGGTTAGAGAAATGAAGGAGAAGGGATGACAACGAGACCATGCCTCATTTGGGGATTGCTTTACCCCTTTCCCTCCCTCTCTCTCTGTCTCTCTGTGGCAAGCACATGTGCCCTCTGGCAATAAAAAAAATTATACATATTGTAAATGTATGCTTCACTTTCAGTTCAGAAGAGGAAGATGAAAAAGAATGGCAAGAAAGAATGACTCAAAAGCAAGTACTACAGGTATTTAAATAATTTTTGAATTCAGAATGTCCAAAAGGTCTTCAAAAAATGAATGGAAACTGTATATTATGAAAAAACTATGCATAGATTTCAAAATGTTTTTGCACCAAAATAAACTTGTACTTTTAGTTTCATTTTTTTCCCCATGTTTTTTTAATTTTTATTTATTTATTTTTTTGGAGAGGTTTTTGCTGTAGGGTACGTGTGCTCGTCAGACAGACAGAGAGAGACAGAGGACAGAGAGACAGAAAGCAAGAAATCACCCCCCCAAGGGGATGGCCATGCCACAATCCCTTCTCCTCTGTTCTCCTCTCTGGATCCTGGGTACGCACACACATGCACACGCACCTGGCGTGAGTTTTAAGACACCAGGTCTAGGACTCGAACCTCAGTCAACTACGTGAGAGTCCAGCGACATAGCCATTACGCTAACTGCTGGCCCCCTTCCCATATTTTTTAAAAACGTATTCTGTTATTTGAAATGAATGACATGAAAATGAAGACTATTAAGGAGGTAGCGTGAATTTATGAAAGTTCCTATTAAAAAGTAGGACAGATGCTTTTTTTATTATGTGTATGTATATGTGGATATCTATATTTAAAATACACACTCATCCTTACACATATAGATGGAATTTGCCGTTACACACACTGTATATCCAAAATAAGCCACTTTTCTTTCCAGCCAGCTATTGAATAAATAGTAACACATGCTTGTGTAGAAGATACAGAAAATATACCACTCATAAATAACTTAGTTATATTTGGTGTATTTTAGTTCATTTTTTTCCATAAACCTGTATAGTTGAATACCGTGTATGTGTGTGTGTGTGTTTGAGTACGTGTCTGTGCAACAAATGTAATGGTACATGTATATGTGGATATGCATGTCTGTGCATGTCTATTAGTAGTTATCTGTACTATGCACCTTAGACAGGTAAAACATCATTTATTATTGTCATTTGACATAGTTTAGGGGGGTGGATGAGCTCAGTGAGGCAGTTCTCTGAGTCTCCCATGTGGATGCAGTCAGACCTAGGTAAGGCTCCTGTGTAGATGCAGTTTGATGTAGGTGGGACTCCCATGTAGATGTGGTCTGACTATAGGTGAAGATCCAGGGTAGATGCGGTCTGGCCATGGGTGGGGCTCCTGTGAGGATGTGGTCTGATGTAGGGGAAGCTCCCCCGTATATGCAGTCTGACCACAGGTGAGGCTCTGGTGTAGATGCTCTGACCATAGGTGAAGCTTCAGGGTAGATGCGGTCTGGCCATGGGTGGGACTTCAGGGTGGATGCTCTGACCATAGATGGGACTCCTGTGTACATGGGGTCTGATTTAGGTGGGGCTCCCATCTGGCCATAGTGGGACTGCTGTGTAGATGAGGTCTGAGGTAGGTGGGGATGCAGTTGCTTCAAAGCCTTCCCCACTCACCCATCTGGTGGTTGATGGTGGCCAGTGGCCAGACTTCAGTAGAGCTGGCTACTGGAACACCTGTGGGTGGCCTTGCCCCATGGCCTTGGTTTTTTACAGTGCTACTGCAGTTTCCAAGGGTAGGCATCCCAAGAGAAAGTTCAGGCACTCTGTGCATTGCTTTTCAAATGTAGTTTTTGAAGTTGTTTTGAACACCCTCTCCCCCACATTTTATCCATTATATATGAGGTAGCTAGTCTAGCCTCTATCTAAATGGAGGAGAATTAGGCAAGAATAATGTCAAAGAGTTTGTGGACATGTTTTAAAACCTCACCGTGGCTTTTTCCCACTATACGAGATGGCAGGCGAAAAAGCTGCGAAGCAGGATACTAGGAGAAGGAACCTGAAGCTAAGAAGGCTGATGCCAGTGGCAAGGTGAAAAAGGGTGACCCCAAAGCTAAAAAGCCCAAGAAGGGTCCTAGTCCGGGGCATTGGCAGATACTTCAGGTCTGCCATGTATTCCAGGAAGGCCATGTACAAGAGGAAAACTAAATCCAGGTTTGAAAAGAAAAAGAAGGACAAAGTTCTAGCAACTGTTAAAAAACCAATTGGTGGAGACAAGAGTGGTGGTACCCTGGTGGTTAAACTGCTCAAAATGCCTAGGTATTATCCTACTGAAGTTGTGCCTCGAAAGCTGTTGAGCCACGGCAAAAAACCCTTCAGTCACCATATGAGAAAGCTGCAAGCTAGCATCACTCTTGGGACCATTCTGATCATCCTCACTGGATGCCACAGAGGCATGAGAATGGTTTTCCTGAAGCAGTTGAGCAGTGGCTTGCTATTTGTGACTGGAGTGCTGGTTCTCAGTAGAGTTCCAATGCGTAGATCTCACCAGAAATTTGTCATCACCACCTCCACGAAAATTGATTTTAGCAAAGTAAAAATCCCAAAGCACTTTGTCAATGATTACTTCAAGAAAAAGAAACTGTGGAAGCTCAGACACCAAGAAGGTGAAATGTTCCATACAGAGAAGGAGAAATACGAGATTTCAGAGCAGCGCAAGGTTGATCAGAAAGCTGTGGACTTGCAAATTTTACCAAAAATCAAAGCTGTTCCTCAGCCCCAGGGCTACCTGCAATCCGTGTGTTGCCCTAACAAATGGAGTTTATCCTCACAAATTGGTGTTCTAAATTTTTTGCCAAGAACCTAATTAAATTACTGATCATATATTAAAAAAACAAAACAAAACACCTCTTCATGCATATTTTAGTGAATAACATTGAGGTTGTATTGTATGTACAAGGTTTTTTTTTTTTTTTTTAATCCCCAAGGCATGTGCATTAGTCAGAGGGAGAGAGCCCCCTGCAAGAGAAACAGGGAGTGCAGCCACCAAGTGGTCATGGCCATGCCACAGCCCCTTTACCTGTTTCTTCTACTGTCAGGATTGTGGGTATGCATGTGTGCCCGTGTTTGGCCTAATAGTGCTGTGAATTGAGCACTGGAGTGTTTCTCAATTCACAGGAGCTGGTATGGGAACCACAATTGGCCATGTGGGATCTGACTTCCTATGCACAGGGCTTAGCCGTACTATGGGGTCCAGTCTACAAGTTTTTTTGCTTTTGTCTTTATCCATAGAGCTTGTATGCTTGCCAGAGAGAGACAAAGAGAGAGAGATAGTGAGAGGGAAAGTGAGAAATCACCCCACTGGGGAGATGGCCACACAACAATCTGTTCCCCCTACTCCTCTTGGGATCCTGGGTACATACGCACATGCACCCAGCATGATTTTCAAGCTGCTGGGTCCGGGACTCAAAACTGGGTCACCTCTGTGGGAGTCCAGTGCCTTAACCACTATACCACCTGCTGACCCCATGAGTTTTCTTAATAAACATTTTTTTTTTAAATCAAGTTTCTTAGTGTAGTAGAAACATTCATTGATTTCCAGATTCAAAGTTTGTTTGTTCATATTTTTTTGGTGTATATGGTAGAAGACTTTTGAGCTAAAAGCTTAGCATCTTTCAGTTCAGGGAGGTTCTACATTACTAAAGCAGCAAGTGAGAGCAGTTTTGGTTAAGATTTTAGATCTCCTGGTCAGAAAGACCTGCATTTCAGTCCTGGCTCCATTGTTCATTAGCTGTGTGATCATAGACAGATTAACTTCCCCAAGCTTTTATTTCCTTTTTTAATAAATTATTTATAAAATGAAATAGATTGGTGCCTTCCTTATAGGGATGATGGTAACAGTGAGGGAAAACACAGGAAATGCTCTGCATAGTGACAGGCTTGTAGCTAACACTCAACACACACTAACAGGATGGCAAGTTGTTTTATTTTACTTCTCACTGTGAAGAGTTTTGAAGTACACCCAGTCCTTCTCTCCAATCTCTGTCTCTATCAGGCTTTTCAATCTCTTTCCAACACTTACTCACAGGTCCTATTTTTAGTGGGGGTCTTCTCTATCAGATAAGTATTTTTTTCTCTTCTCTTCATCACTCTCTTATCAAATTAACCTACTTTAGTTTTTATTGTTTTATTTCTTTATTTACTTATCCCATGCGTTCCTCCACTCCTAAGAAGAGGGACCTTATCCAACTTGCTCTGCACAGTACCCTAGCACCTCGAATGGCCCCTAGTACTTCAGTGGTACTTGAGTGAGTGAAAGAGTGGATGGGCACATTCTGTAATCTGCCTAGTCACCTCCACACCTGTACCTAATAGGCCAAAATAATTATATAATTAATTATGATATAAACACAGATATCTGTAATAGTGACCAGAACTAAGAATATGGGGTGTAAATTTCATGGTGGTGTGTTTTTCTCTTTACAGGAAGAGTTCTTTCAAAATCCTCACTCAATAGATATTGAATCTGAGGACTTCATCAGCTTGCCCCCTGAAGTAAAGCATGAAATCTTGACTGATATGAAAGAATTTACCAAGCGAAGAAGAACATTATTTGAAACAATGCCAGAGGTGAGATGTACAGCAGTATGTTAATGCTTAGCATTATGAACTTCAGCAAAACTCTTTATGAAAATAAAGAGAAATTGATAAAGCAACATTTACGAGTATCTCCGATTCTGGTAAACAGCATTTGTGAGGCTCAGCAAGCCTAGGAAGCTTCACATATTTAGAGTTGAAGTTAGAAAGGCTTACTCAAAGACGTCTTTTTTCCCACTCATGAGTAGGTAGGTCTTTCCCCCTGCCCTGTGTTCTCTTAGTGCCCTGTAGTGAGGTTTTATATTTCTTAGTACTGAAATGTGCTGGTTTTGCTTGCCCCTGTGTTTTCAGGGCCTGGCTTAACATCTTTCACATAGTCCATACCCAGTATATGGTTAGTGGGTCAGTCTTAGGCTTGTTTATAAAGGTTATTTTAACCCATAATATACATTGTCCATAAAAGCTAGTAGTGATACAGAATCTGATCACAATGGAGAAATACCTTCTAACGTGAAAGCCCAACATTGCTGTCCTCTTCTTTTTTCTTTTTTCTTTTTTTTTTGTAGGCAGTAAATCTTCCTGTAATGTTTGGCTGAATTTTTTTTTTTTTAATTTAATCACTGTACATCTTCACAGCATACATAATGAATATACTGTGTATCAGTTCAATACTAGGTGAACAGTCAATGTCATCACCATGCACATTATCATCAACAGATAATTTTCCTTTTCTATAGCCCTAAAAATGCCAGTGTGTCTCCACGGTCCCTGCTCCTCTTTCCTGACAGTGAGAATAGGGCTGCTTTCAAACATCGGATGGTGGCTTCCTAGGTATGGGAAGCTGCAGCAGGGCTGCTGTGTGGGACTGGGCTTGCTGAGCATGTCTCCCAGTCATGCCGCCAGTTACTTGCTAGTGAGTGAGTTCTACTTCCCTTTCTACTGCTGCCATTTGTTATTTCTAAGGTAGTTCTCCATTAACCTGCTGTGGGATAGAACTGTGCAGGATTGTTTTCCCTAATGGGTGGGTGTAGTGTTTTTTAATTTTTGCCAACTTTTGAACTTTTTTTTTAAGAAGTTTTTGCCTTGGAGTACATGCGCTTGCCAGGGAGAGAAGGAGAGAGAGAGAGAGAGACAGAGATAGTAAGAGAGAAGGTGAGAAATCACTCCCCCCCCCCGCCATGGGGGAATAGCCATGCTGCAATCTCTTCTCCTCTATTCTCCTCCTGGGATCTTGAGCACTCATGCACATGTGCCTGGTGTGAGTTTCAAACCACCAGGTCCAGGACTCAAACTTTGGTCAGCCATGTGGGAGTCCAGCATCGTAACCACTGCACCATGGCTGGCCCTGTTGGACTTTTCTTAATATTCGAAAGATAAAATATGTAGAATATGTTTCTTTTTCCTTCATTCCTGTTTCTTCACAAGAATGTGAAGACAGAAAAATACTAAGTGCACAGAAATGATACTCTTGAGTCTTTGGGTATACAAAGGACAGAAGTAAATTTACTTTCATTTCAGGGGGAGAATCCAGGCACCATCTATCAGGCATTTTATTTCTTTCATATGAAAGGATCTCTGGGTGGTACTTGAAGAGTTAGAATTTGGTCTAGGTAAACAGTAGTGGGAAGGAATGGGAGAAAGAAAGCCCCTAATGATTAAGTTTCCTTTATTTCTGGGTTGTGTGGGGTTGGTAAACTGTAGGATAGCTAGAGTGGGAGCTCACTGGATTTGTAATCCTGGTAGAGATCTGCAGGTCTGTCTTGGACCTTCGCATCATCTGTACTCTCTGTGCACACCTAATATTGATAATACTGTGATGGTCAGTGGTCATAGTAGTCATCAGGAGAGCAGCGCAGTTAGAGTAAACCCATCTGCTCTTGATCCGGATCTGCTGCTCGTGAGCCAAGTGACTCAGGAGAGGTTAGATAACGTACTTAAGTCTCATTTCTTCTTTTGTGGAGTGGAGATAAGGATGGTTGTGAGAATAAATGAGGTAATATATAAAAAAGTGCACAGAAGGGAAATGCAATATATATATGTGTGTGTGTGTGTATATATATATATATAACACCAATGTGATGTCCGTGGTTTCTTATGTATTTTTTATGAACCAAAGACTCTACAAGGTACTTTACTTGGAAATGTACTTACATTCTAGAAGATCGTCTACCTGTTAAGCCATGTCAAATGTCATAGTGACTGCTGTGCATTACATGCTTAATATAAATTTTTTAATATATAAAAAAGTGCACAGAAGGGAAATGCAAAATATATATGTGTGTGTGTGTGTATATATATATATATAACACCAATGTGATGTCCGTGGTTTCTTATGTATTTTTTATGAACCAAAGACTCTACAAGGTACTTTACTTGGAAATGTACTTACATTCTAGAAGATCGTCTACCTGTTAAGCCATGTCAAATGTCATAGTGACTGCTGTGCATTACATGCTTAATATAAATTTTTTAAAATAAATGATTAAATCATAAATAGTATTCATGATTTCTTTTGCCTCATTAATTTTTTTAAAAAAGATTATTTTCTAAGAAAGGCAATAATAGTTGTTCCCAGTATTCAACTATTATTTTGTATAATATGAAACTATTGCCAATGAAAAAGCCAATTATTCTCAGTCCACTTTTGGGAAAAGGGGTGAAATATGACAATACTTTTGTCTGTATTTATTAAAACAGTTTTGTTTATTTTGCTTCTAGGAGTCCAATGACTTTTCACAGTATCAACTCAAAGGTTTGCTTAAAAAAAACTATCTAAACCAGCACATAGAAAATGTCCAAAAGGAAATGAATCAGCAACATTCAGGACAAATCCAAAAGCAGTATGAGGATGAAGGGGGCTTCCTGAAGGAGGTAGAGTCTAGGAGAGTCGTCTCGGAAGACACTTCCCATTACATCTTGATAAAAGGTATTGGGCACCGTCTTCTTTTTGACAGTTAAAAATTGAAAATATAACTCAGCTTCAGTAGTGCTTGCTGGTTGGTATTGCTCCTTGGCAGCCTGAGGCCACGTAGGAAGCCTTGGTTCAATTCCCAGCCAACCCTGAAGAACCAGTCACTGTGGCACACATAGGTAGTCCCAGCTACTCCTTCTGAGGTGGAAGGATTGAGACACAGTAGGACTATCTGAAGCAAAACAGAAATTAAAACTAAAAACCACAGGATATGCCTGGGCTCTGGATTCTATAAACTATCACTCTGGATAATATTGATGAAGGCCTATGTATGTAATAATCATTTATAGCTATTAATGGTTTAATGACTGTAGTGCCAAGTCACTTAAAAATTAGCTAATGAATTAACTCTTAGTTGCTGTTTATTTTATTCATTAATGGACCTATAAGAGATGTGGGAAGGAAGAAGTTCAGGGGCACCCTTGACGGTCTCAGTATAATCCCTTCCCCTAGTTCTGCAGTTCGTCAGGTTCATGGGTGCATGTATGTTTCAGACTGACTAGGGATCTGGTCCTGCAATTTAGCCATGTAGTTTCCAGCCTTGTACTTTAGAATGTTGCCACCTGTGCCACTGAGGCTGGGCCTTAGTTGCTGTTTCAGTGAAAATTCCTCACTGCAGTTTTCGATTATTCGTCTTACTCAAAGTATGTTGTCACACTGTGAACCTGCATAGTGAGAATTATTTTAATTTTTCTTAAGGTATTCAAGCTAAGAAAGTTGCAGAAGGGGATTCAGAGTCTCTTCCTTCTTCCAGCAAAATGCACAGCTTGTCTTCTGACTTGAAATCACCTCCCTGTGAAAAATTGAAACTGGAGAAAGAGCCTGATAACACCCCTCCATCCCCAAGAACTTTGTTAGCTATGCAAGCTGCCATGCTGGGAAGCAGCTCAGAAGAGGAGGCTGAGGGGGAAAAGCGAAGGCAGGACCACGGGAGAAGGGCGGCGGCTGTAGAGGAAGGCTCCATATCACCACGCACTCTCTCAGCTATTCAGAAAGCTCTTGATGAGGATGAAGATGTAAAAGTGCATACTGGACATGGCAAACATACGGGACACCCAGGAGCCAAAAGACTGCTTATAAGCAGTTCTGATGAGGACAATGATGAAGGAGTCCAAGTGAGAAATGGAAAAGGAGGGCTGTTTACTGGAGGGCTCCCTTCAACCAGCGTGAGCTTTGGAGGGGAATGTGTAGTCAGCACTCCGAATGAAAAAGAACTGGCAGACTCAGCCCCTTTATTGAGAACTGTGTTTTGTCAAGGTAGTGATTCTAATGCTCTAAAAGAACAGCCATCGTCGTTTGTCCATGTGGTGCAGGAAGCCTCTCAAACAGGTGATGAGTCTCTGGGGAAGGATGGAGAAGAGCCACTTCCTTTGCAGAGCACAACGGCTATGTACAGTGATGCACCTGTGCTCCTGGGTGGAGGGGAGCAGGCCCCAGCACGTCCAACCAGTACCAGCTCTGTGTCAGAGAATGACGCCCATACTAAAGTGCTTGAGCTACAGGATAGTCTTTATCCAGTTGAGAGTAAAGATGATTCCTCTGTTCTTTCAAGAGATGATGAAACCACATATGATCAAAATCCAGCTCCCCAAGTCATTGGTACTGTCACGTTGCAAGAAACAAGCAACGTGGTGGATGTCCCTTCAGAGGCAATAGGTGATTTAGGGGGTACCATATCATTTAACGCTAAAGAGCAAGAGAATTTCCTGAAAACTGCCCAGGAACGAGAGATGATTGAATCTGCTGGTCAAGGTTTAATTTCAGTTCCAAAGTCTGAAGAATTAGTGGAAGTCAACTCTGAAGAAAGTGAATCTGATGGTAGGTGCTTGTATTCCTTTGGAGATACAGGAGGGCAGGATGTCACAATTATAGGAACTGAGAGAGCTTGTAGCGTGGCCCTATTCGTGCTTTACAGATGGGAACCAGAGACTTTGAAAAGAAAGATGAAAGGATTTTCTCAGGGATACCCAGCTAGTCATGCAGCTTCCTTTCTTTGTTTGCTATGTTTTTGGGTGGGGGTGTTTCTAAAGGGATGCCTTAGGTAGAGAGGAAAGGTGAGTTTCTCTTTGGTTTTTGAAATCTTTTTATTTAAAAATAAATACAGATTTTAAGAAGCCGTTGAAAGAATATTATAAGACCAGGGATGCCCTAGGTAGAGAGGAGAAAGGTGACTTTCTCTTTAGTTTTTTAAAATCTTTTTATTTCAAAATAAATACAGGGTTTAAGAAGTTGAAAGACTTATAAGACTGTTACTCAGTGGCTAGCATTCTGCTACATTTGCTTTATCATCTCTCTCTTTTTGTCATTCTTTTTGAATGTGTATATTACACACACACAAACTCCATTGATCCTCATTATTCATGGAGTCTATATTTGCAGAATTTAATTGCCTATTCTCTGAAATGTATTTGTACTCCAGAATCAACATGCACTGTGTGTGGTCTTTGTGATCATTTGCAGACATTTGAGAGTGAGGAAAAATTTGCGTCGCCACATGGCCCGCCTATGGAGGTCGAGTAAGGCTCTGACAGAGATGACCAGAGGGTGGAGTCAGGAAGGGGCAGTGGAGTGTAGGGCAAGAAACTGTCCCTGGGATCTGTTAGACCAGGTTTGACTCCTTCTCTGGAGCGGGCTCAGGCAAGTCACACTTTTGAATCTTTTTTCCTGTGCATAAAATAAAATAGGATCTATCAAGATAGGTTGTTTAAGGATTTAAGATAATGATAGATATGAAATACACTCAAAAGTGTGAATATTTCCTTTAGGAGCCACGACTGAGTATTTGCTATTTATCATTTGTGGTGACTTTATAGACCATTCTGTGAATACTTAGAGTTGATGGTGGACATACATACTCAGACCTACACATTGTTCCTGGTATCTGCCAGGTTCCTGCTAAGTTACTGTTTTCTCTTTGTAATTAGTAGGTATTTCATGGAAAGGAATTTTTGTGTTATATAAGTGTGCTGCTCTTGGAAAACTTTAATGCACTTGTTTTAGCTTCTATTGATTTTTTTTTTTTTTTAGAGGTTTTTACCATAGGGCATGTGTGTTCGCCAGAAAGACAGAGACAGAGAGACAGAAAGCGAGAAATCACCCTCCAAGGAGGATGGCCAAGCTGCAGTCCCTTCTCCTCTGTTCTCCTCTTGGGATCTTGGGCACACATGCACACGCATGCCTGGCGTGAGTTTAAGCCACCAGGTCCAGGACTCAAACCATGGTTGACTACATGGGAGTCCAGTGACATAGCCATTATGCCAACTGCTGGTCCCCTGTTGATGGTTTTTACCTGAATATATTGTTACTCTGATGTTTGTCAAATGGTGATTTTTGTACTCTGTCATTGCTTATTAGTTGGCATCCTATAAGAAAAATCTTTTCTTCCCATTTTTTATTATTTGTTAGTGTGCGATCCTGAATTCCTGTTTCACTTGGTAAGTTACAGTCTGAAACTACCATAACTTACTTTGTTGCTCAGATTGTCCCAGCTTTAGTTGGGCCCTTTAGTCTGGCCTCTGAGGCTTTTGACAATTCCCCATTTTCTCTCTCTTTCTCTAATTTTTTTTTTTTTTTTAGTTTTGCCTATAGGGCATGTGAACACATGTGAGAGAGAGAGAGAGAATGAGAAAGAGAAATCATCCCCTAGGAGGATGACCAGGCTGCATTCCTTTTTCCCCCAGTCTTCTCAGGATTTTGGGCACACATGCACATACGCCTGACATGATTCTCAAGCCACCAGGTCTGGAACATGAACCACACAGTCTATCATGTAGGATCCACCTCCTTTAACCTCTATGCCACCTGCCCAAGAATTCATCATTATCTTTTTAAGCATTTGGTCATTTCCTTACTGTCTGGCCAAGATGTTCCAGACTTATCTTATACCTACTCTGCTCTGGCACCAGCATTTTACCAAGGAGCCCTGGTTCCTTTCAGTGGAGCATGGTACTTAGAAAGCACAGTGGGATGCTGGGTGTGCTCACTGTTTTTAGGTGTCATTGTTTCAGGCACTCTCAGGGACAGAGCCAGGAAATATAATTAAGTCTGCACACATGCCAGTGCACATGTGTATGTGTGTACACACGCCTGTACATTTCTACGTTTGTTACTGTCTTTTGTTATATTAACATACATGAGTTCACCTGATACCTGCAATTCTACTTCAACATCTGTAGCTTGTCTTTTATAATTTCCCCAACAGTGAGAAACCCTGTCTTCAAGGGTCCCCAGTGTATTTGCTTATCTGCTTATTCTCTGTGTGTGACTCTGTCATCTCCCACTGGCCTCCTTGGACCCCACTGCCTCTCTGTCCTGATTGCTTTCTCAAACCAAGGCAAACAGGCCTTGTAAGCCCTTCCACCTGGCGGGAAGGAGAGAAACCAATAAATATTTTTTTAAAGAAAAGGAAAGCTATCGAGAGAAGAGAGAGAAAGTGGAAAAGGAAGAGCTCTTTCTCCTGAGTATTTAGGATTCTTCCCACTAGTCCCCAGTTTATTCTTTACTATGTACATAGTGACATGAGAACATATTTAACAGCCTCCATGAGTATTTACGTACTTGGACAATTCTCCTTTCTGAGTTTTCGAGACAATAATAGTTAACTAAGAACATACTTATATAAAGCTGATACGCAAAGCTTTGGGAGCTTGATTTCTTTCAGAGACAATGCCCGTTTAACTCACTGAAAAGGCTTATTTTAAAGTTATAGGCACTTGTGATTACATTTATTTATATAGTATGTTACTATTACTTCCCCATTCAAATCTTTACTTTTTAGAGTATATTTTTCAGGACTTTTTATATTTCAGTCGTAGATGAAGTGACCTAGTGTTTTGCTACAGGAAGTTTCATTGAAGTGCAGAGTGTGACTAGTGGTGATGAACCTCAAGCTGAATTGTGGGATGCTTCCAGTCCTCCCTCTGAACAAGGTGAAGAGGAGCCCATGGGAACTGAGGCAGAAGAAGCCACTGGTGAGAGCCTTGTAAGGGACAACTCTGAAAGTGAAGACTTGGATATTGAACCACAGAAAGAAGCTGCAAAGGATGCAGATGATTCACTCAATGAATGGCAAGATATTAATTTGGTAATTATATAACATCGTGTTTTAACTTATAGCTAAGGAAGCCACATTAAATAGCTTTCGCATTTTCAGGAGTTTGTTAATGAAAATGAATATTTATTAGGTATTTGCAGTACATTTTGTTATTGCAGATGACTCCTTCTTCGTGTAGGTTAGTCTCTGGGATAGGCTCCATTTCCGTATGATTTAGCTGGGGAACTCTGAAGGTGTTATAGACTCTTGCTCAGAAATCCAAGTGGAATACTTCGTAAAGCAGAACAATTATTGGTAATTTAAACTGGACTAACTGCAGGGCTTTTTGTAATATAAACTTAATTGGATTATTAATATGATTATTTGCAAATGAAACATCATTCTATAGGAGGAGCTGGAGACTCTGGAATGTAACCTTTTAGCAGAACAGAATTCCCTGAAAGCTCAGAAACAGCAGCAAGAACGGATCGCTGCTACTGTAACGGGACAGATGTTCCTGGAAAGTCAGGTAAGTACACACTGGCTGGCCCTTTAACAGACTTCCGGTGGGGATGCACTGAATGAAATGTCAGGCACTGATCTCCCTCATGGTTGGGGCCCGTAATGCCTTCCCTGGGGATGGCTGTGTGCAGCCTCTTACTTCTGCAGGAACTCCTGCGCCTGTTCGGCATTACCTACATTGAGGCTGCATTCCCTACATTGAGGCTCCCATGGAAGCGGAGGCACAGTGCGCTGTCTTGGACCTGACAGATCAGACTGCTGGAACCATCACCGATGATAGTGATATCTGGCTGTTCGGGGCACGGCATGTTTATAAAAACTTTTTTAATAAAAACAAATTTGTGGAGTATTACCAATATGTGGACTTTCATAACCAATTAGGTAAGACTTCAGAGTGTGAATACTTTTGTCTTATGAATATTTTTTCCAAGGAACTAATTTGATGCAGTAATAGAAATGGTAGGACTATGCAAGTTTTCATGTAGGTGATTTTTTGCTATATAGAGGAATAGGATTTGGTTTTGTTTTCATTTTTTAATTTCATTTTCTTTTATATATTCAATCACATTATTTAGCCTCATACAGCATTGGGCTTTACTGCTTTGCTACCTGTTGGTCCTTGGCAAAATAATATTGAGCGACTTCTTTTTTTTAAAATTTTTTTATATATATATTTTTTATTCTTCAATTTGACCAGAGAGAGACAGAGAGGGAGAGAGGAAGTGTGAGAAAGCAAGCCACCAGGTCTAGGACTTGAACCGTGGTCAGCCATGTGGGAGTCCAGCACCCCAACTACCACGCCACGTGCTGGCCCCAATATTGAGCGACTTCTATGTGCCAGTTATTCTTGACCATGGGGAATAGTCTAGTAGGAGAAACACTGATGATCAGTTCCATAAATTGCAATTTGGTAATTGGTGGTATGTGTCATATAGGAAGACAGAGCACTAAAAAAGAGGAGCGGGCAAGCTTCAGTCTCTGAGGGTGCAGATGCAGATGCAGATAGGGATTAGTCAGGAAAAGCTTTATTCACAGGTAACCTTGGGGCAGGAGCTTATCAGAAATAGGAAGCAAGTGCTGTGGAAACCTGGGGACAAGCTTGTCAACAAAGGGACTAGAGAGGGTAAAGCACCTGCGTTGGAAGCTTGTGTGGTGAGTCCAGGTAAGCAAGGAGACCAGTGTGAGAGGAGGAAGGGTGAGGGAAAGGTGTAATGGCAGGAGTTAATGTCAGGAAGTGGGAAGAGACCAAAATCGAGGAGCTGGTGTTGGGCGTGCTGATATGATGGAAGGAGAGGGCTGGAGGAAGACTTCAGGTCCTGAGCAGCTGGCAGAGGGGACCTGCTGTTAGTGAGACCAGGGAGACTGCAGAAGGAGCAGAGGGAGGAAGGAGAAACAAAGAGCTCAGGGCTGGATGTGTTAAATGTGAAATGCCCGTGAGACACCAGTGGGTATGTGAAGTTGAGAGGTGAGTATATATGACAGTGGCCCAGAGAGGTCCAGGCCAGACCGCCAGGTCTGTGGGTCAGTGTACACGGGGTGTTTAAAGCCGTGAGAATGGATGAAATGTCAAAAATTCGGACAGAATGTCATTTAACAGAAGGATCTATTTTTGCATAATAGAAAGATATCTGACTGTCGGATGAAGATACACACACACACACACACACACACACACACATACACATACATACAGAAATATGCAATTTACATAATAAAATATTTATAAATGTAATAAGTCTTTATAAAATAAAACTTTTTAAAAAATATTTATTTAATTTTTATTTATTCATTCATTTATTTTAATCTGACCAGAGAGAGATACACAGAGAGAGAGAGGGAAAGTGAGAAAGCAAGCCACCACGTCCGGTACTCGAACCTCAGTCGACCATGTGGGAGTGTCCAGCACCTTAACCACCATGCCATCTGCTGGTCCCCAAAATAAAAATTTTTTAAGATACGTAATTGTTATTCTTTTAGGTCTGGACCGGAACAAATTAATCAATTTGGCTTATTTGCTCGGAAGTGATTATACTGAAGGGATACCAACTGTCGGTTGTGTAACAGCCATGGAAATTCTCAATGAATTCCCTGGGCATGGCTTGGAACCTCTCCTAAAGTTCTCGTAAGTTCTTTGTTTCCTTAACTCAAATGTTTATTTGTTTAAATACCCAAATTAAGAAGTCGAGCTATATTATTCACATCATAATCTGACATTGTTCGTTGAGCTGGTGGTAGTGGTTGGGGTTTCTGAAGTTCCCTTTTCTAGAGTTCTGATGAAATCAGTCAGTTTTTGCTTTTTAGTGCAGCAGGACTTTATCCTAGTTCATGGGTACAAAGCCAGTCCTGTGGATTTCACAGGTGCTTAGACATTGTCATTCATGTGTTTGTTGAGTAGCTACCGTATGTTAGACATTGTGCTGTCTGTGGGGTTAGGGAGGATGAGTGTCAGAGGCCCTTGGGGATGATGGACACGGGGCCGTAATTGTTCTGTGAGAGACCAGCCAGAGAGGGACAGGAGACACAGAGCCAGGAGGCTTACCTCCAGTGCTCTTTCCTGCTTCTCCCTGCGTTATCCTGTGATGTATCCAGTGATAACGTCTCCTTCTGTCCCGAACCCAGAGCTGTGCTGTACCAGGGTACACTTTCAGTTTGGGAGAGGTTGAGTTGGTAGGCGTTTTGAGCATGCCTGTGATGGTAGTCCTTTCTTATTGTTTGCCCTTGATGGCATTTTTTTTTTTTTTTTTTAATATGAGAGAAATGGGAGCAGGACAGATTATTTTTGACAGGGTCTCAACTGTTGCTGTCCTCTGCCCCAGCCTCCCAAGTGGCCGGGATTACAGGTGCACACAGATTCACCTTGTCTGTTGAAGTTGGTCCAGGATACACATCCAGGCCTGCTGTCCAGCCCCGCCTCACACAGCAGCACCCTCTTGCTAGCTTCGTCGCTGCTAGGACACTTCTCTCTTTTTCTAAGTTAAAATATAATTCATTGCCATAAAATTCACCTTTTAAAGTGCCCAGCCCAGTGGCATTTAGTATTGGGTTGTCAGAAACATCATGATGTATTTTTTTCTGTTTTTTTCTACGCAAAAAATGTGTCAGGGCATTTCCAACAATCCAATATGTTCACAAGGTTGTGATGGCATCTTTCACTCGCCAGTTTACCACAGGGTAGCGTTTGATGGTAGCTGATCTAATGACCCTTTAGTGTGTTCTCCCCGCGACATCCCCATGCTAGGCTTCCTGGTCTGGAGAAGTGCCGCGGCCGTGCTGATCGCTGCCCCAGTCAGCACCGGTTCTCGGCTGTTTACTCATGCTCTCTTTTCTTCTCTTCATAATTCTCTTGTTTTCGAGGACATTTATGTATTAGGGCAAAGTGATTAGGCAGTTCGTAGATCATGGGAGGTAAACAACTTGAAAAACTACAAATAACTTTATTGTGCAGATAAATATAATAAAGTTACAAAATATGGGCAGCAAAGATGATTACAGTTAATAATTTGGTTTATATAACTTTAGACTTTTATTTGCACATGTATACTTATTAAAATTATATATATACACATACATAGCCTCATAAAAATGTGTTATTATTATTATTGTTATTGTTTTTACAAGGATGGGATGATGCCCTATATTGGGTTGTCAGTAAAGTCATGACGCATTTTCTCATGGAAAAACAGAAAAATGCGTCATGATTTTCCCGATGACACTTTTTGTATTATCTGTAACCTATTCAGTGATAAAACAAGACATATTGTCAGCAGTATATAGAGTTTATGTCATTATAGTTTTTGTTTTGTTTCGTTTTAATTTTGCCAGAGGATGTAAATTCTCGAGAGAAAGAGGAGGAGAGGGAGAGTGAGAAAGCAACGCCCTCCCACCCCCGCATGTGGAGTGATTATGCCACAGTCTCCTTTCTTCCATTTCTCTTTTCTTTCAGGATTTTGGGCACACACGCACACACGCACACACGCCCAGTGTGCCAGCCTGAGATTTAAATTGGCCAAGTAGGAGCTAGCTTCTAAACCACCGTGCCAGGGACGGACCCGATATTACTGTTGCTAATAACTCCAAAGAGTCTGTTTTAGGGTCTGTCATGATTAACTTAATCAAATGCCTATTGTTATTTTCATTTTTAAAAGTATAAACAGACATTAATTTGAGTTGTCTTTATACATATATCTTTGAATTCTTATCTAACTATCAGTGTTATTTTAGTATAAGTGAAAATGATATCTGACCTTTAGTTTGGTTCCCTAATTACTAGTGAAAGTGCTTTTTCTTTTTTTTTTTCTTTTTTTTTTTTTTATTTTTTTTATCTTTTTGACAATTTGCATTTCAGATTTAGTGAATGGCCTATTTAAGCCATTCTCCTTTCCTTTGTTAAACAGTTTTGCCTGTTTGGTCTATCTTTTGAGTCATCATTAGTGATTTCTACCTTTGGTCTTCCAGCCCACTGATGTCAGGTAGGAGCAGTCTCAGCTCTGTCTGACTCAGGAGGTTTACAGTCAGTGCAGAGTTCAAAGAGCAGGAGGAGGGGTAGAAACCAGTGAAACTGAGAAGCTGCTGGCCTTCTTTTCTACCCTCACTGTCTTGGGGGGCTGAATTCTACCTTATCTGTCTTTGTTTTTGCCCACACAATGTATATCTTTAGTAGAACTTATGTTAAAAAATTTTTTTTTAAATTAGGTTTTTGCTGTAGGGTGTGTGTGCCCGCCAGACAGAGGGAGAGACAGTGAGAGGGAAAGTGAGAAAGCCGTCTCCAGGGAGGGTGGTCATGCTGCAGCCCCCTCTCCTTTGTTCTCCTCTTGGGATTTTGGGCCCAACTTGATTTTTAAGCCGCCAATTCCAGGACTCAAACCGCAGTTGACTACGTGGGAGTCTTGCACCTTAACTACCATGCCACTTGTTGGACCTAAGCTTACATTTTGATAGCTGCCAACATTTAAATTTGGGGAATTTCACAAAAAAAATTTCTGGATTCTCTTGGAGAGAAAAGGGGATCTGAAAATACTGGATCCCAATTCCCAGATAGCCCCCAAATAGGTGGGATAAAATAACAGTTCTCATTTGGGACCAGCAGTTAGCATAATGGCTATGTCACTGCACTCCCATGTAGTCGACCACGGTTCGAGCCTCGGACCCGGTGGCTTAAAAACTCACACTGGGCACGTGTGCGTGCGTGCCCATGATCCCGAGAGGAGAATGGAGAAGGGATTGCGACGTGGCCATCCTCCCTGGGGGGTGATTTCTCGCTTTCTGTCTCTCTCTGTCTCTGGCGAGCGTATGCACTCTGTAGCAGAAACCTCTCCAAAAAAACCCAGTTCTCTCTACCCTCCATGGACATAAATACTGCTATTCCAGCCCAGTAACCACCACTCTCATTGTCTCCCCAAAAGCTGTACTGATTGACAGAAGCCCTCGCTTCCATCTTTATGTTAAAATAAAGGCTCTTTTCACTTGATAAGCTCACAGTGAGCTATGCCACTTCTCCCAGTTGGCAATAGCGACTGCTACTTCAAAGACGAAACTTTAGAAGTAAAGTGGGGGAGCATTACAGGTGTTTCCCGGTTCACACTTGGAAAAAATATAAAAGTGCCGAGGAAAGATTTTTCTTTTTCATTTTGATACTCTAATGACTTCAGTTAGTCTTTTTCAACACTAGATGGCACTACTGCACCGCAGACAAGCAATTTATCAGTTCCAAAGTGTGCAAAGCAGTGGCCTAGGAGAACCAGCTGAGCTGTCCTTTTAGATTCTCCTGAGTGCATGGGTTGGTGGAGATGATGTTTGTGTTCTTACCTTTGATGTGGTTTGTATTTTATAATTATATACGTTTCTCTGGTTATCAGGTTGCTGTATTACAAACTACTTTAAACTTGCATGGTTTTAAATAGCACCTTGATTCTGCCCATAAATCTGGAATTTGCTCAGGCCTCTGTTCCATGTTGGCTGGAACAGCTCAGTGGAGCTCGAAGGTGTGCGTCAGATAGTTAACCATGTGCTGGCCGGGTGGTGACCGTCGGTGCACACTCAGCTAGGCCTGTGGGCAGTGCGTAGGGACCCACCCACCTGGTCCCCTGGAGGAGCCTGGGCTTCCTCACTGTGTGTTGGCTGCCTCCAAAAGCAGACACTCAGAAGCAGGTAGTGGAAGGGCCATCTCCAGGTTTGGCGCAGTGTTACCTCCTGTTTGACTCAAGGGGAGGGGTGTGGACCGCACTCCTTCATGGGAAGAGTGTCAGGAATGTGTGCCTGACTTTTACCGGTCCTAAGGATTTAGGTTTAGGATAAAAAAAAAAAAAAAAGAAAAAGAAAAAAATGAATGAAATTAAAGGGAAAAAACAGCTATGTTTTTGCTTAGGATATTAACTAGGACATAGGGAAATAATTGTTATTGCTGTTCTTTATTATTTTCAGTATCTGCTTGCCTTTTCTCTCTTTTTCTGTATATGTGCTTTTTTTTTTTTGCCCCATAGTGAGAGGATACATAATGTTCTGCACTTTAAGAATTTAGCATGTTCTTGGCATTTTTACATTTCGTTGAATATTCCTGGGTCCGTTATTGTTCTTGATTTGAGGTAAATAATACAGTATGTTACAGGTACTTCCATTGTACAGTTGAGAATGAGACCCCAAGAAGTTGTAGCTTTTGTGGCATTACAATTGAGAGTGGGCTCTGGAGGAAGAATGTCAGGGTCTGATGGTGCCGACTCCAGCTGTGAAGTCCAGAGCACGTTACTTGTTTTTGAGTTCAGTCTCCTCATCTTTGAGGTGAGGCTAGTGATAAGAGTGTGCTGGTGTGATTGCCTGGCATGTCAGGTATTTACCACCATGCCAAGCACAGAGGAAGCTTTTAGTAATGTTTACAGTCATTATCCATTTGTGCTTACTAAAACCGAAGACAGTAAAATTGATACTGTAGTCATCGTAGGACTTATTTTGGAGTGAGGACTTGAATTTACATTTCCTAACTAAAGTCGGCCCTTGATCTGTAGTGCATGGCACATGACGACACCGTCTTCTTGCTTACTTACTTCTTTCCTTTTTGTCTGATAGAGAGTGGTGGCAAGAAGCTCAAAAACACCAGAAGCTAAGACCTAATCCTCATGACACCAAAGTGAAAAGAAAACTGCGGAAGCTGCAGCTGGCACCTGGCTTCCCCAACCCCGCCGTGGCAGACGCCTACCTCAAACCTGTTGTAGACGCCTCCAAGGGGTCATTTCTGTGGGGAAAACCCGACCTTGACAAAATCAGAGAATATCCTTTCACTTCTTAAAGCATAAAGGGACATTGAGTCAACCTGTGTTTGGCTTACAATTTATGAAACACGAACTTGGATCATTTTTTCTGTTTTTGGAAGTTTGTTCATTTCTTTTTTGAGTGAGAGACAGAGAAAGAACCAGAGAGAGAAAGGGAGAACGCGCCCTCGCACCAGAATCTTGACGCTGTGCTCCACCCCTAGCCTCAGCCAGGTCCTGGGCACACACACCCTGAGTACTCAGGGAGGCCTTTGGATAAATCCACAACCTTCCCATGTGGCTCAGCCTCATTGAATGTTGCATTTTACTGCTGTGCTGTTATCTGACTCCTGTTTTTTTTCTTAATATCTCATTTATCTAAGTCTCTGGTTTTAGTTCTTTTTTTGCTCTCCTTAGCTTTAAAAAGGGTCTTTATTTGAAGTAAACAGTGATAGACATTCATAAATACAACTACATTCTTAAGTATTGTTTATTCTGTAAGAAAAGATGATTCATTTTGTTTTTATTACTGGTTTTGTGTTCTATATATTTAAATACTATTTGAATAAATGTTTAAAAGCTTACAATTGAACTAATCTAATGTTTTTTTCCTCTCAAATATGTAGGATATCTAGAAGTTGTTTTCATAGTCATGAGTCTTTGACCTTCTGAAATGAGAGTTCAGAAGGTTTTCTCTTAGAAGACTGAAAAGAACACAGTGCCAGATAATTAGGTTGGGATAATTTGTTTTGTGATATTGTTTTCTTTTACTACTTTCATAGTTATAGTCTTTGGAGATACAGGAAATGGAATCAAGTGTGGGTTCTTTGGACCTTTCTATATGTCATGTTTAAGTAGCTTTAAAAACACTTATACTTCTTAACTCCTTGCATATTTTGTCAGCGGTATTTCGGCTGGAACAGGACTAAGACGGATGAATCTCTGTTCCCAGTGTTAAAGCAACTGAACGTCCAGCAGGTAATCATGGCAGACTCCTTTGAGTTCAGGATGAAGAGTGAACCTAGGAAGGCTGTGACAGGCAGCTGTCAGAGACCGCTTAACTCCTATATTTTAGGACATACAACATACATTTTGAAATAATGATACTTTAGATAATGGAATGGAGCAAGATAGAAAAAGAGGAAAAAAATCAGTGTTTGTCTTCATTTTCTATTATTACTCTTAGGGCTAGACTTTGGTGTCCTTTCTTACTCATTCTGAGTTTGGAAAAAAGAAAAACCTATGTAATAATCAATTTCACACTAAGGTATTTCTGATTAGATATATTTCCCTTTTGGAGTTACTTTTATTTTTGAAAACTCTAGGAAGTACCAAATTCAAATCAATTCTGACTATTAAAGTTTCTTCATGTATTAGTATTTTTTAATTCTGCAAATCAGCCTTTAAAGATAGTTCACTTACTGTATATCAGTAGAACTGTGTTCTTTTTTTGAGAGGTTTTTCTCTATAGGGCGCTTGCGTTCCCAGTTCACTTACTGTATATCAGTAGAACTGTGTTCTTTTTTTGAGAGGTTTTTTCGCTATAGGGCACTTGCATTCCCCAGACAGAGAGAGAGAGACATAGAGACAGAAAGCGAGAAATCACCCCCCAGGGGGGATGATCACGCCACAATCCCCTCTCCTCCATTCTCCTCTTGGGATCTTGGGCATGCACACACATGCGCCCAGCGTGAGTTTGAAGCCACCGGGTCCAGGACGCGAACCACGGTCGACTATGTGGGAGTCTAGCGACATAGCCATTACGCTAACTGCTGGTTCCGTAGAACTGTGTTCTGAGGAGAAAAGAGGTCTTTTGTGTGGCCTCAGTTCCCTCAGGTAACTGCACCTTGCTTTATCGGGGCTTAAGTTGCCACTTACACAAAACAAGACTCCTCCCACTCCAGGAGCAGCCCATAAAACACACCAGTAAACCACATAGCAGAAATGAGGCCATGTTTCTCAAGATAATGTATTCAAAGTAAATCTATTTTTACTAGATTTGATTCATTCTGAAAATACAGACAAACTGAGGTGGACATGTGCAGACTTTCTCCTTATTTTTCTGATGACCTTATCTGCTAGAATATTGTAAGACAAACAGGAAGGGGAAAGCTCTTTGTTACTGGGCTAGTTACTCCTTAATTTCAGATACATTTTGTTGTAGTACTTTGCTCCCGTTTCGTTATAGAACTTAACACGTGTTTATTTTTCCAAAATTAGAGTGATGAAGATTAATTAAAATGTCCCAGTATTTACCTTTTGCAACATAGATCTAAACAATTTGATTTATTTTCTCTTATCTTCCCCCACTTATTTGTTACCATACATAAATGCAGCTAGATATATGAGGGATCTTTAAACAAAAAGTTCATAGAAAAATGCATGTGATGAAAATTATGTATGGTTTCAAAATTTTTTACAACAAAATAAACTCATGCTTTAATCCTACTTTTCCACAAACCTTTGAAATCTCTTGCTATCTAAACTCTTCACTTATTAATATGAACTTCTTTCTGTGCCTTCTTAGTTTTCCTAATTTCAAATGACCAAATTACATTTCATCAGAGATTTAAATTCATTAGTTCAGTTCACTCATTGGAGCTGTAATTTTTTTTTTTTTATATAAATAATGCTGTGATGAACATTAAAAATTTAACTTTCCCCATATATAACTTTTTGAGTATCTTCCTAATGGTGGGTTTGCTGAACAAAAATCATGACTTTCTTAAGGCTCCTAAAATATAATGTAAATATATTTTACATTATATGTCATATAAAGGTATTTATTGTATGACGATGTTTGTACAAGAACATGTACTAGGATTTAGAAATAATCTTCCTGAAATCGTGTTGCTCCAAAGATTTTATATATACATATACACGCGTGTATATATGTGTGTATATATTTATGTTTATATGGGTATATATAATAAAATATATTAATACAATGTATAGTATAGTATATTATAATACATATAATGCATATATACATATATACATTGTATATATAGACACACACATATATATATAGACATACATATATACAGATATAAAATATATATAAAATCATGTGTATGTATATGTATATATATGTGTGTGTGTGTGTGTGTATGTATATAGCTACAGAAAAGTATTTAACACTCCTTGAGTATCCAGGCAGATATTTCTCATTTGAGATGTAGACTGAAGACAGTTGACAGAGTTAGTGCAAGCACTACTCTAAGTATGACTTCGAAAATGAAATTTATTGTCAATAGTTCCCTGGGTGACAACTGACTTTGGGGAGATAATAAATGAGTATTCTCTTAAATGGTAACCCAGTGCAGTGGGTGAGGCTGAGCCCATTGATTTGGTTGGGCAACTTTACTTACTTTATTATTTATATTACATATATTAATTATTTATCATTATTTTATTTTTTGCAGACACAGCTCCGAATTGATTCTTTCTTTAGATTAGCTCAACAGGAAGATCAAGATGCTAAACGCATTAAGAGCCAGAGACTGAACAGAGCTGTGACATGTATGCTGAGGAAAGAAAGAGAAGCAGCAGCCACGGAGATGGAAGCAGTCTCTGTTGCTATGGAGAAAGAATTTGAGATACTTGATAAGACAAAAGGAAACACCCAGAAGAGGAACATAGCAAATAAATGCCTGAAAAGAAAGAGGCTTTCTGATTCTAAGCGAGAGAATAAATGTGGTGGATTTCTGGGGGAGCCCTACCTCTCAGAATCATCAGATGCATCTTCCAGTGAGGATACTGGAAATTTAATGTACATAGAAAAGAGAAAAGTAGCTAAAGAGTCAGAAGTCAGCTCATCAGACATGCAGAAGTCAGTGAAAGATACTCAGGCGAAAGACAGAGGCGTGACTTCGAGCAGCTCCAGCGATGATGATGGAGAGAAAACAAGGACAGTCCTGGTGACAGCCAGATCTGTGTTTGGGAAGAAAAAAGGGAAACGGAGAAGTATGAGGGGAAGAAAGAAGAAAATGTAATTTGAAAATATGTGTTCTCTATAATTAGGTGTAACATGACCTTTTATAATGAATTCATTGCGAGGATATCAAATTAAATGATTTGCACAGTCTTTGTATTTAGTGTGTGGTTTTTATAAACAGAGGCTGAACATGACAGTTTATTCTTCAATGTTACAATTTTCTGGTGTTTTCTACTGCATTGAGTATTTCCTTGTACTCCTTGTACTCTTCATGTTTCCATTATCTTACAATGTATGATGTTTTCTGACCATGTTAGAAAAAAGGAAAAAGGATTTATACAGATCAGCACTCATTGTCAATATGCATTCCTCTGGCTCTCATACCTACATGAGAAGCCTAGTTCCACAAAAGTAAATACAGTCCTGCCCCCTACCGTTTCCCATCTCCCTCAGGCTCTACTTAAGAGGATGGCAGGAGAGACCCTTACTGCTGGAACATATTTGAAGAATGTGTTTGCTGTGGTTTAGCAAAGAATTAGGAAACCCAAGTGGGGTGCATCAGTCTACCTGTGAGCACTAACTGTATAGGAACATCATGTTTGGTTTTTAAGCTACCTCGGATATCAGCAGCCGACGTCTGAGTAAATGGACTTGAGAACAGAGAGCTCTTGTTGGACTCCAGCTTTAGGACTGGCCTTCCAGGCTTGATTACTAGTGATGTAGGTGTTTGTTCAGAGGGGCCAGCCGAAGAAGGTTGTATTAGGATTGCTCCTGCTGAGACCTCTCCCAAGCACGGCTCCCAAACTACTGGTTGCTTAGAATTAAGAGCAATCTGAGGATGGTACTGCCAGCTTCTTTGAGCTGGTGATTTTCTGCCTTCAACGTTACCAGCTCTAGTCAGTGTCTTCTTGGCATCTTGAATGTTTCCATGTTTTCCAATTTCCCTTCCTTGGCCTTCATCTTTCTCAATGAAAAAATATAAATAAATATCTTCTAACAATTTTTGAGTGACACCTAAATGCATTCTCTTGGTGCTCACATGTAGCTGGACTTCTTAAATACTTGGACTATAGCTGTTGCTTTTCTTTGCTGATTATTTCAAAAACGGTTTCTGCTTTTATTAATTTTCACTAGCAGCTTTCTCCTAGTATCAAAAATTACTTCCATATAAGTAAACTCAAGTATTTTTTTTGGAGGAAGTGGGTTTTTTCACATTATGTATATTTTTGTTAAGCTCACATACAATTATAAAAACAAAACAAAAGCAAAAAAATAACTATGTCCTAATCATGAAGCGTGTCTCAACACAATCCAAGTATTGAAAACAGAAAACAATTCTGCTCAGCTAGAAATCAATCACTAAAACAGTAAAAAACTGCGAATAGACAGTCATTTAAAATAATACGTTTTCTTGGGAGAACTTTAAAAATCCTCACTTCCAGCTGTTTGAACCACACGATGCATTGTTGTGGTCTATAGGAATAGAGCGCCAGAACGTACTTCTCTCTACAGTAACATAGCCGTGGCCAGCCTCTCTCCATCTCTGCCTCTCTGCCCCACCGCATGTTCTGTCTCTGATAACCGCTGTTTTAAGTTGATGAGTATGCTGATTACTAGACTTGATCATTATTCAGTGGACACATGTATGAAAACATTACCTTGAACCCCATAACTATGTACAATTATGTTTCAATACAAAATATAAATTTCTATTTTATCAGTTAAAATGGTAGTAAATGTTTAAGTAATTAAGTATAAATACTATATAGGTAAATGAGGGATCTTGATAAAGTTAGTGGAGGGCTGGCCCCATGGCATGGTAGTTGAAGTAGCCTGATCCCAAATGGCTGACTGTGCAGTTCAAATCTTGGCTCCAGCAGCTTGAAAAACGTGCTGAGTACATGTGCAAACATGCTCTAAATCCAACAAGGTAGATAAGTTTAGGAGAAGTGGTCAGGCATGACCACACCCCATTGGGAGTGCATTCTCTCTGTTTCTGGTGAGCACACAAGCTCTCTGGCAATTAAAAAAAGTTCATTGAAAACATATATTATGAAAAAATGATAGGGATTTCTGTTTAAAAATACATATATTTTAATGTTTATTTCTTCTGCTAGTGAGAGAGACAGACACAGCACCCCTAACAGAGTCCCAACTCTGCAGTCTACCCCCGATTTCAGACAGCTCTGGGTCATGAGCATGCACATGTCAAGTGTACTCAGGGAGGTCATGTGAGCCCAGAACTTTCCTATGTAGGCCAGCCTTAGAGCATCACTTTTTACTGCTGTGCCATCATTTAGCCCCAATTTCAAAATCTTTTTCTTGGAATCAGCAGTTAGTGTAATGGCTAAGTCGCTGGACTCCCATGTAGTCGACCGTGGTTCGAGTCCTGGACCTGGTGGCTTAAAACTCATGCCTGGCGCGTGTGCATGCGTGCCCAAGATCCTGAGAGGAGAATGGAGGAGAAGGGATTGTGGTGTGGCAATCCTGCCCCCCCGGGGGGTGGGGTGATTCTCGCTTTCTGTCTCTCTGTCTCTGGCTTTCTGGTGAGCACACGCGCCCTATAGGAAAAACCTCTCCAAAAAAAAAAAAAAAAGACTTTTTCTTTAATCCACTTTCCATGTCTTTTTAATTAAGACAATTTTTTTTTGTTTATGACATTGTGTGCATATGCATATGAGAATGAGAGTGAGAGATGAAAAGAGAGATGAGCACCCTTACCATATAGGATTTGACTTTTCTTGAGTAGCATATTACTGTTCTACCATTAACAGGCCTGTCCACAACATTTTTGAAGTCCCCTTATATATAATGCTTTTTTCCCCCTGGAGGTGTGCAAAACAGGACATTTTTGGGTGTGTGAGAGAGGAGAGAATACACTTTTTAATCTTATGCCTGTCTCTCAAACTGCTTATAGTTGGGAATTTGTACAGATTTGTAGGTAGGATAATAGTTTTGCTTAAAAATGTTACTTTGTCACCTTCAGTAGCTAATTCAGCTGGTAGTAAAAGGTAAGCTGCTGTAACAAGGAGATGTTCTAATATGGAAGTCTAAATAAACTAGAATATTATCTCTTATTTTTTATTTTTATTTCTATTTCTTTCATACATTCAATCATGCTACCCAGCATACAAAGTGAATACTCCAACATATGTTCATAACAGTCTGGCCAGTCTAAACTGGTGAAGTAGTTATGCACCATGAGGTTGTTCAAAGTCCCAGATTCAGCCATCTCCTAGGGCACTATCACTTGAATAGCCTATACTTGGTGACTACTGTCTGCATCTCAACCTGAAGGGGCAGCATCAAAGTCTAGGGAGGGTAAGCAGAAGGTCTGATGTTAAATGTGATGGAAATCAGTTTTGTTCCCATCCCATTGGTGGACTAAGCATGTGACCACACCTGGATATTCTTACCTGGTCTGAGTACCAAGGAAGAAAGGGGAAATGGATAGTTAGAACCATTAGAAATGTATGCCACGAGTACACTATAAAATAATTTGATCTTATATCCCTCTCTTAATCCTGTGGCCAAAGTATAATTCTTTCACAAGGGAAGAAACATGTTTAGAGACGTTAACCGACTACCAAATTCAGCCATCTAGTAGATAAAACTTGTGACCTGAACCAGTTCTAACCCAAATTTCCAGGGTGCCATTTTACCTGTAAAGTATCCCGTTTAAAATAATCAGCAACAAAGCACATTTATAATTATTCTAAGTAAATTGGTGAATCTATAACTTACTTAAGATGATGATAATATGCTTTTATGATAAAATTATCTTCCAGCTCAATTTTTTTCTTTAATTTTATATTTGCTGTTCAACCTGCTATTGAGTTATTTGATTTATGGTTATTTGTTAGTTCTGTTTGACTCATTTTATGGATCCTAGTTCTCTGGTGTATTTCCCCTCGTCATCTACTTATTTTTTAAGTTTGTTAATTACTTCTTTGAGAGAGAGAGAGAACCTCCAACAGGGTCTTTATGTCTCAGCAGTGCCTGATCACGGACTTATGTGTGCTCAGCATACTCAGGGAGGCCTCAAGATGTGAACCCTGAACCTTACCATGTGGGCCAGGCTTCTAGAGTGCTTTATTTTACCACTGCACCATCTGGCCCCATTCATCTATTTTTTGAACATCTTTAATCTGTTACTTTAAAGTCTCTGTCAATTTTCTAATGTATGGGTCACCTCTTAGTTTATTTCCACTGTTTGTTTCTTGTTATACCGTGTACATTTTGAATACTAGACAATGAAAAATTGTAGATGTTCTGGATCTTTTTCTAGAGATGGCTCCAGAAAGTTATTGACAAGCAGCAGAGGGGAAGAGCACTTCAATGTAGTCAGGACCAAATGGTTTCAGGGCTTGTTTCTAGTCTTTGTTAAGACTTTAGCTCCTACTCCCTCTACCCCCACCAACCCATTTCTAGAAAGTAATTTTCCAGGAAAAAAACGATGAAAAGCTTGGAGTATTTCTTTCTTCTTTTGAACTTTGCTCTGCTTTTGTCCACCTCATGCTTAGAAAATGAGCCTGTTGCCCAAGCAGCCTAAACAGCAAATGCCTTGAGTGCAAGGCTGATGCTGAGTGTCCTGCTTACTTCACTGTCCTCCTAGGATCTTGAGTCCTCAATTCCTGGCTGGCTAGCCAGCTCCAAACACAGTCTTGATCTCTCCAGGTTTGTGAGGTTGTCTGTAACAATGCTAGTATTCTTTCATGTTATCCTCTCTGGCTTTTTGATGTCTTCCCCCTTCACCAATAATCAGCAGTGCTTGGAATTCTTGGCTGTCTTGACAGTTCTCTGATTCTTTGTAACAGAGGTTGGGTGTGTGTCTGTATTTAAAAATAGGCTTTTCTGGCATTCAGCAGAAGCAGAGGACTGCTATAAGCTCCCTGCAGCTCAAGGCAGAAGTCTCTATACCCTTTTTAAACAGTTCAAACATTGAAATAGTCACTGTTGTGTTGATTAAGATTATTGATTTAGGGATTCTGCTGCTTCTTTAATTCAGCATTGAGGACTGTATGATCTTTCAAATAACTCCTTGGAAAAGACATAACTTTCCAGAATGTTTTTACCTGTACTATTCACTCCACAAATATATATTGTGTGTCTTTTATAACCCTGTCTTATAGATGAAGTAGCCAAGAAACATACTAAGTAGATGGCCTAAATTCACAAGCTTATTATTTATAGGAATAACTAAAATAGACTTCCTGACTTCTCATCCTATCCAGTATATTAAAGTGACCTTGATTCAACTTCATATTCATCATGATACAGTAAAATATTTCTTAGAGGCTATATTCACACTCCTAAATTCAACTTCACAGTATTGCTTGGTTTTGTTACCTCTAGTAACTTTACATTAAAGATATTTTCAGTCACAAGAGAAATTTATATATGCTCTGTGATGCTCATGTACAGGTGCACAGATGGAGGTAAACCCTCAGCCTGCTCACTCGGTCTGAAGAGGAAGGAATTGTGGTAATCTGATTCCCGAGTGCAGAGCATTGCTGCACACATTCTGGTAGGGTTGTTGGATTCTAAAAACAGTGTTCACACCCAGACAGGTGATGTGAAAAATATGTGGCTTCTATTTCATAGCCATGAAGTCTTGAAATAACGTTTGGCATTGAAGTTAAAAATGGATTGCTTTCTCCACCCAGTCCTCGCTCACTTGTAGGAGTGTGTCACTCTAGCTCTGTTCACGAGACACTCACATGGCATTCCT